CATACTTTCCAATGATCTTTTCATTAATTGATGAGGATTACACATTCATCGCCACTCATATGTCACTGCGTTTCAATTGCAGTCGTGACCAAAGCCGCGGGATGTATCATCATTGACACATCCTCCTTTAATAGACATAACCTGCATCCTCCTTTCTATTTCCCGCGCTTCACATCCACAAATCATTCATTGGCCTTCTTCGTGCGTATATCCGGGTGGCCGTTCCGCCGCCTACGGCGGGCGGCCACCTTACCCTAGTATACAATATGCATGTCAGCCAGGAAAAAAGCCCCTTTTTCTGCCTCCAGGAAACCGATTAGTGTCTTCTTCCGTGACGTTTCCTTGGATGCAATCTCATGCAGGTCTGTCCCCACCATATGACGCATACTCTACTGCTCTATCCTGCTGCGGGCGTGTGGTATGCGCCAGTTGTAACTCCCGGGCTCCCAGTTGATGTGTGGTAGGCTGTGAACTGGTTAGTTCGAACGTGGTGCCCAGAAGAAAGCGGTGAAATTGCCAAAATCAATCGAAACTAGACAAGACGCCAAGTACGTACGCGCCAAGAAAGAAATAGGCAGCTGATTGGCGGACGCCAAGTTAGATCTGTCACGTTGGTGGTTTTCCTGTCGAACAGCACTTAACCAGCATCACCAGCACCTGAGTAATCCATCACCGCAAAAATGTCGACAGATATTACATGTCTCCCGTACTTCGACAACATGCAATGACATCTGGTGCATGGTCCCCCCACTCAACGCTGACTTACCGCGATGGTGCGCTATCTCAGGAACAGATCAGATTTTTTTCAACCATTGAATATATAAGGGTGTTCTGAGCAACGGTAGAATGGGTTCCATTGCGGGAAACACACGCGCTGATCGCCCATACTCAAAGACAGGGAAAGTTTTATCTCATGATTTCGTATGGCCCATGGCACTGTAGCGTTAACTCTCTACAATAGTGCCAATCCTCTTAAGAACCCGTAGATGTGGTCCGAGGGTCGTCAACACAACTCACACAACCCGGGCGCCTACACACGGGGCGCTTCTGCATGCACGCGTGAAAAAACTTCTCTTTGCAAACGAAACCTCACTCTCTGAAAGACGCAACCGTTGTAACTCGGCGGAATACCTTTCCGCGGAGCACGTGACGAGTTATTGTCAATTCCTTCTCATGGCGGTCTACATACAACATAGGCAGACGTTCAGCCGTCTCAGCCTCAAAGAAGATGCCCATCAAATCTAATATGAACGACTATTCATCGCTTGTCTGCTTCTCAGAGAAAACAAAAAAAATCCTCAAGTGGTGAGGATGAGGCAAATATTCATTGCCGTGGACCGCGCAAGCACCGGGGTTGTCATTCAAATGAACTTTTGCTCCATCGCTTTCGTAATAGCGACTTCTTGAGCGTTCTTGAGTTCCTTACGCCTTTTTTCGTTGATGCCCGCCTGGGTGAGCATGAAAGGAGGTTTCGTGTGAGTTCACTCGGGATGCGTCACCCCTAGTGATTTCATTAATTCATGCAGTGGCCGAAATATTATCATACCAGGTATGACCAAAGGTTGTACTCCGTCGGGAATGAGACGATGAACGAGTACGCGGTCGATCAAAGTGCACGCCAAGGCCTATACGTGGTCTGATCTCCGACAAGGGAATGCACCCCACGAGGATCCACCATGCACTCATATTGTTTCTTTGGCAATTGGGCGAGCTTAACCCACTTTCATCACCTAAGCGTGAATCGTAAGTTTTGCGTTACGCCAATTATCTTGGGCGACTCTGGCCTACTGGTAGTTCACCTCCACACCTGTTCTGTGGCAATGACAAGGTTTCGGATGGTCTCGGCGGCGTGCTTCCCTGTAAAGTTCTGAAATGGTTCGACCAAGGTCGGTTGAAACACGAAACACACAAGCACGGACGTGGACGCGAGAGAGCATACGGATCGCTGAGGAAGGGTGAGAGGCCAAGAGTGAAAATCGGGGCTTACGCGTAGTACCCGACCTTCCTTCTCGTGGACAGCGGCATAGGGTAGAGGTTCCCCACCGGCTTGGCCCAAGCCAAGCGAAAACTGCCACCTCCATCATGTGCACTATCTATGTTATAGACTACACCCCGACAACGCTTGGACAAGTATATTTATGAACGCCTCGCTTGTATACATCACCTGCTCGCTGAAAGGCTTTATTTCATCTTCGTGCATCATGAGAGAGTGCGGCTTTGGAGCTCTTCGCTGTTGGCACACGCACTCGCACCATGAGACCCCGTCACCGCCATCATTAGAGGCGAAGAGAAAGACGGTGAAGCACGCAGAAACAACGACCTCAAGTTTATTAAATGTCAAACGACAGTTTGTTGCGAGACGAGCCGTTCGCTAAACCGAAGTGGTAGGTTAGGCAACGCTCAAAAGATTCGAATCTACATGTTTTCCTACAATCTTGGATATGAAAAGTTGACGCCCAAGGAGAACCCTTCATCATGAACTTGAAGTGGCCAGCGATCCACGGGCTGCGGACAGCAAGCCGCCTTTGGCACCTCATGTTAGACAAGGCTCTTCCGGCGATGGCCTTCAAGGCCACAAAGACGGACCCGTGCATGTCCATTACAATGAATGCGGGAGGATACTGTCTAGATTATTATCTTATGTTGATGGTATTCTCCTGGCATCGCCTGACTGATCAGAATCTACGTCAAGAAGCAGAAGCAGCTTTTGGACCGCTTCACCATGAGCGATCTCGGAGAGGTGTCTCTCAGTGGGTCTGCCTTACCTACTGAAGTTTTCGTGAATTCAACTGTCCTCAATTTGGCTTGGTCACCTATTGACCCATACACCGCTGAGAGGATTTGGATTGGTTTGCGTGACGTCCGTCGGATTTTTTCCTGCAAGTACCGTGTTTTCCGCAATTTCATGTGCAAGCTGAATTGTACCGGAGACGTGCTACGCCAAATCAACGCCGTGCTCGAGGATGAGTCCTCCGGTACTGAACCGACGAGGCGTGCATCATCAATACTACTGTAGTCAGCTTGCACGTGGAACCGTACTTTGTGAATGCCAAGAGGTCATAAATTTTAATGTGTGTTTGATGACGCCAATGGAGCTATGTAATCGCTAGGATTTTGCACGACATAAGATTATTCGTATCCAGACCGGTGTTGACCTCTGTCACGGATACATACGGATCCCTGGGGAAATTTCTCACTCCACAGGTCATGCGTGCATATGTTCCTTTACGTCTGAATGAAGGCATTCATTCAGCACACATGGACATTACGTCATTGAGGGGGGCATGTTCAAATATTTAACACTATCGTAGTTTCCGCATTTAGGAGTCCGCTTGACTAGTAGTTCAACCATTTGCAATGTCCTCGGAATAAGGAGCCACCCATAGTTGGTTGATGTTCCGTGTTTCATATCCAGAATATGCATTGTCTAGATTTTCAGAAATAAATCACAATGCAAGTAGCACAAACTTGCGTGCTGGGAAGGATAGTACCGCAGCAAGAAACTTAGACTTGCGTGCTTGAAGGTATGAATATTCATATGCACTCAGCAGCCGACTTTGGACATAGTGCACTTGTTAAAGCTGTATTCTGTGTTTAGTCGTGCTTCGGTGCAAGTGATCAGGTATTCTTGCAAGTACAGTACTTGATGTGCATGCGTCGCAAGTGCGAGAGCATGGTCGTGTTGAAGCCATGTTTTTCCGGCACGTGCCTTAGCTTACCAGTACCGTATTCTGGACATGCGTGATTGGTCGACGTTGCCAAGTAGGTGTGATTCCATGATATCGAGGACAAGCCCGCACTCGCCCCATCCTCTTGCTCTGCTTCTATGGGACTCTCCACCCCTCTGCGTTTCTGGAGAGATCCATCTCTCTCTGTGATTTCACTCCGTTTCTCTACATTATGATCAAGCAGCATTTCCACCATCCCATTTTCTTCCCCTTCGGACTTTCTGCGTACTCAGAGCCAAGCCTCTCGTACCAAAGAGTCCAGCGGCACAACCAGTATTTTGCGCTATTCAGGATACGTACAGGCTCATACGCAGCACTTGAGTTTTGCCTTTGACGTGTGACTATAAGATTGCACAATCGGGTGCTCTGCGTATGTACATCAGTGGTCATTGCTGCATACGCGCTTTCTATTGTACTTGCGCAATACACTGCGGAGAGAGCACGCATCAACTCAAAGAACTATAGGACAAATCGTGTCGACGACAATCATCAACACCTCTTCAAGAACCGATAAGGGACAATCGTCAACACCCACAAGCCTACATTCCCAAGATCTTGCAGATTTTACTGAAGTTTTATGCTGTTGCTTGCAACGTAAAGTGGGATTAGGCAACAACTCTGCCAAACGGCACATGGCCGAAACGCACAGCCTAGCGAAGTGAGAAGGAAGAAGTTTCTGTCTCACCTTCCGCGGCTCTCCAGGCATATCCAGCATCCGTTGCGCCCGCTGTACCTTGAGGTTCGCTTCCATCATTTTCCGATAATCAGCAAGATTCTTTTGCGAACACGAAAAGAAACAGAGCCGAATCTGGATAAATGGGACTGATCGGAATGCAGAGTATCTGAACGCATGCAACGGCGGGTAGGTAATTGGGCACAACCATATGCTCTGGTGTATGTGGCACATCAAAACTTTCCACCACGTTTATCAGCGGCGAAGAGAACCTCGATGCAAGCACAGCGAACTGTACACAGCTACACAGATTCTCACCCGACACACGCTCGCTTCTGTGCCTTGCCGAAGTATTTTTTCCCGAAAGTATCGACCTGCGATTTGGAAAGTTTGCTCTCCGAGAAAAAGAAGATTGAAGAAGAATCCCCCGGATAAATGTTTGGCCGCTAGAGGTCAAAGGCCAACAAAGTCCAGGTGTTACAGAAGGCTTCACAACAAGCAAAAGTTGCGTATTACCCTCGCCAGACGCACCTTGGTGTTACCAATCTCGAGGTTCAAAGCACGCACGCAGTCATCTCTCCCAGCATCAACAGCAACTTCCAGAGCGGTCTTGCCGTCCACGTCTCGGATGCTGCGGTCGGCTCCGACTCGTAACAGTGCGTCAATACATTTCACCCCTGCGTGAAAGATTATGTCCGTTACGACGCGAACTTCGTTATCAAGCCTGCATTCGTTATGAAGTCTGCATTGACACCGCATCGCAAACCAGAGCGTTACACGGAATGCCTGACGAAGTGGAATTCCGTATGAACCGTAGACTTGTCGGTTGTGATGGCGGGGGAACGATGCGTGCTTCACGACAAGCAACCCAAAGAAGTATCGCTTAATGCACACGACAGTACCTCAGACGATCGGAACATCCAACGCCAAACACAAAGCCCGCCCATCACCTCGCCTGCAGGAGAGTGTACCATGCACAAGGGGAGGAACACATCACGCTTATGATACATCATGCTTGGTTGCGCTTTCTTAAATTAAAGTGATAATTGTGCTTCACAGCAGTATTGTGGAACAGGTTCTAGCAAGAAGCTCTTTCCATTCTTGGTTTGACACCCTCTCCAGGAAAAGTGGTCCACAATCGCCACCTCCTCGTTCGTTGGTGACCCTAGAATCAGTATTTACCGTTAACACCATCTGAAGCCGCCAGGTGTAGAGGCGTCCAGCCCTTGATGCTCCGAAGATCGATGCAGCTCCGCTGAAGTCCGGCCCCGTCGTGACCCAGGTCGTTGATACACAATATCTCCACGCAGCGGACGTGGCCGTTCCAACTCGCGTAGTGGAGAGCCGTTAAGCCAAAGTCCTGTGGCGAAAAGGAACATAGCAGCACGAGAGAGACCGTGTCGATGCCTTGGTTTCCACGCAGCTTTCACCATCGTACTCAAATTACGAGTAAAGACATCCGTAAGGAATTGTGGGAGGTAAATGGTCCTCTACGGCTGTCAGGACAGGCAGTCCGCGTGGCGAATTGACGGGCAGTCAGTGTTATTCACGGGAATACGAATGGGGTGGTGTGGATATTTCCTTAAAAAACTACCTTCCCAACGCCTGTCGAGGATAATTCCCTCTTTTCGCAAAGGCGTGGCGCTGCGATGTCTGATTCTTATGGCGGAACACATGACGGCTGCAATTCCCGCCAACACCTACCATTCATATTTCGGGAGACATGGTGAGCGATCAAGATTTCAATGTGCTGAAAATATACTTGTATGACGCAGCGGAGGGGGTTGGCCCGCTGGCGTAAAAGAGCGCAAGAGGATAAAACTCTGAAGAAATGAAAAATTGGGCACGCCACCAGCCGTGCGCGCTCCGGGTACCCCCTTTCTGCTTGCGTCAATCAGCGGACACAAAACCGGTTCTCGAAAAACGGGGGCAAGTGATGATGCTTCATGAAGGGTAAAATCTTCCCCAAAGTCTACCAAGGGCGATCAACTCTTTTTGGGGTTAAACACATGTATCATCGATCCATGAAGTGCAGCCAACGTCGCGCAGTCTACAGCAGAAGCTGTCCGCGTGGAACATGTCGTCACCAAGGTCTTGAATGCAAACAAAGCAGATAGATAGATGTTGTCCCGTCGTGTCTAGTCTATGATATATACTGCATATTGTAATCGCGCGTGGGTGTAGACGTCGGCATGACCAAGGCTGGCTTTGGATTGAACGACCAAGATTAAGCTCTCTTTCTGCTGTGGATCCGCCACATAGTCTATGCCTATGCGGTTGTAGTCTACTGCTGTGGAGGCTCACATCCGTCGAGCAGGGATTCGACCCTTGTTCCAGTAGATATTTTATCTTGTCCACGTCGCCAAATGTTGCGCACCGGCGCAGTAGCTCCCCACTCATGCGTCAATGTGCACACTGTCAGGCTACAATAGGACTGCACATGTCCCCTGGGAATGCCTGTCTCAGGGTAGTCAGGGTTTGTGTCACAGACCAATTTCGAGAATGTGCGGCGCAACCCATGTCGTTTCGGTAAGTACATGCACTGTAGATGCGGCGCAATCTACAGTACGGCGACACACGGAGGGCGGGGGGGAGCAGTGCGCACAGCAGTGTAGCTCACCTTTCAGCTACATGGGAGAGTCATAATTGTGACAGGTCCCCAAAGTCGGGCACCCCTGCATTGTCGTTCAAGTTGTTCTTGACGTCAGGCGATTCCTCGAAGAGTGCTTCATCTCCTCGCGTCTCTCGATGTCGTCAGCAGCCGAGACATCGCCCGTGATCAAGATCCTCGTTGTTGGAGATGCTGGTGTCGGGAAGACCAGCGTCATCCAGAGGTGAGCGAGATATACACTCGGAAGGGCATCGAGCGCGAAAATCAATCGAAAACCCTTCCTTCCGGCGGTCGCGAATTGGTATAAACACAGGAGCGGGTATCTCGAGGACGACCCAGCCACATTGCTTCATCGTGGCACGGTGAACTCCAGAGGAAGCACACCCAATATCCACCAAGTTGATTGCCAACCTCCCCACTCTCGTCAATGGATCCAGTCTTTTCGGTTAACCGAGCACATGCAGGTGAAGTCTTGAACTTGGAAGTATGGACCCGGAAGAGTGTGCACACCTTTCTTCAGCTCCAGGAAACGTCTTCCAAATGTGGATTTTCGAAGTTTGTCGAGGTCAGTTAGATTTTCGAATCTACTGTAATTGACACAAGATATCACACCCCCTGGACCAATTTTCAGGGCACGACCACTCGACAGCAGAATTGTTGCGGTGCCGCGAATGATAACTCTGAAACCGTCTCGTCGAGAGCTTTCCGAAAATGCACTGTTTGACAGTGTGGCATCATCTTCGTTATGATGGGTGTGAAATCAATGTCACCTACGGTACCATCATCACCGCGAAAATGCGTTCGCGGAATTCCACGAGTGCCCTTGGTAGTGGGCAGGAACAAAACCCTCACGATGGGATGGCTAGAGCTAACATTGAGTGCGTGCGGCCGGCGACTTCAGTGCATTCATTCCCCCAAATATCCTACCCGACTTAATTGACTTACCTGGGGTCCTGAAAATGTGTAGGTCTAGCCGTAAGCAAAGCTGCATGAAGCGTTAGAAAATCGGACCACTCTACACACGCGGTATTTTCAAACCTGCTTGTTGCTCACCGAAAATCGACTCGTTTTGAACATCGCCGGCCGAAAATCTGTAGACTTCTATGAGACGCGCCTTCGGAGTGGACTCACCAGAGCATTGCAATATAGTAGTGTCATCAAGGCGTGATATAAGATGAAAGCAAAGCACGTGTTGGTGTGAATCAATCAGCTTCCAGCTGTCCAGTGACGCCCCCCAAGCTATCAGCTCATACAGCGGGCGTGTTTTCGGCTCGAAGAGCCCAGCGAACCTCAACGTACCAAAATGAAAATAACAAACCTGTTTACAGTTTTGTATCTCAACGACTACAATCCTTGCTGTTGACATCGTACACTCACTCGCGGATTTCCACGAACACTTTCTGGTGATGGTACATTCACACGGAAGATTAGACATAAATACAATACCACGACGTTTCCCGGTCGTTGAAGTGAAGATCTGCAAAGCTCCCTCGAAACCTTGGCGATATAATGGCCCGTTTTGATTCACTGTCACCGATATATGCCAGCCCTTCTCTCCGCATTGGCCGTTGCTTTGGAATTGCTCAGTTTCTGCCGGAGAGCGACGCATCCAAATCTTGCATACGAATGATAAACAATCTTAGATAACGAACAATATTGTTGCAAATGTTGGCGTTACGGGGGACTGAAGTCTAACCTTTGCTGATATTGGCGTCTTGTTGCTTGGCCAGGTGTTAGACAGACTGTGCGCCGTGTCTAAAAACTGGAGGTGCGTCTACTGCACACATGAATCCAAAGGCTGCTTCTGTAGCATGCTACTCACTCCCGGTTCGCTCGCCTCCGCTCACCTGATCCGCCGTCAGATTCGTGAAGGACGAGTTTTCGCCGACCCACCGACCAACAGTTGGGGTGGATTTTTTCATCAAGAAGGTTGCCCTCAACGGCGATCAGAGCGAATCGTTTCCGGGTACCGCCGTGCGCGTACAGCTATGGGACATTGCGGGACAAGATCGCGCAAGGAAAATGACCAGAGTGAGGGAATGAGCTGATGACAAGCAATCGACTCATGCGCAACTCACTGCAGAACAAGTTGCCGAACGGAATGCTCACGAACATCCACGTGTGCCCCTACGAGAATGAAAGTTTCAGAGATCTACCCCCACATAGCAAGCTTTCAACTCCATGGTTGCCTTGTTCTACAAGTCTGATATACAGTCGTATGAGTTCCACGTGTAGTATACCACCAGAAGTTTGTTTCCGTTTCGTCTTGATCTGGAGTTTCTAGTACTTGAGAGCTGTGACGGTAAAGGCGCAATAGCTCAATTGACTGTGGTTCCCCACCGACAGGATGCCTTGGAACGAGAGGTTCGCCGTGCGGAGGCCACCCAATGTTTGTATTTGGTCGGTGCTGGCTCTACTATAGCAAATCATTTCAATCTAACGTGGAACGAGCCCCTATGGATAGCCATAGATTAACAACCTCTTGGTAATGTATCCTGACAATACATGACGAAAACACGTGTAATCCTGGCGGTAAGCTATCGCGCGGGTAGCATCTTTCCGTCAATAAATTACGTTCTGAATTATATTGCGTGTTTCTTTGTCAATCGAAACCAGGCCTACTTCAAGGGGGCGCTTGGTGCGTTGGTCGTTTACGACATATCTCGCCCCCGAACATTCGACTCCGCTGCAAAGGTTAGTAGGTGGAGATGAGGGGATGTTACCAACGTTAAGCCTGCGAGTTAGTGTGTTACTCCAGGTACGTACCATTCGTTCAGTGTCACCATTCTATCTGACGGGAAGTATCGGGGCATGAACTACATGGCAATGTTTCCGACACTGTGGGCTTACCTCGACCGGATTTGTTGCACAGCTCGAGCCTGATGTGACGGTTCGTGGTTGTTCGATTCTGTCGCTTCGCATATCTTCGGAAGACGAAGTGAAGCAAGGGTGTAGGATTGGACACGACCTGCACCGACGGCGGCCATCCCCCAGGTTTATGTCAAATACCTTCACTTGGCCAGGCACAAATTGGCTTGTGGGAACAAACATTGAAAGTACCAAAACACGAAAGAATAAGAAGTACGCAGAGCAAACCCCTACTCCCCCCTGAAACAAATTGGACATTATGCACTGCAGAAATGGAGTGATTGTGATTGTCTTAACATATTCTTGCTCTTCGGATTCCCGGGTTCCAGTGGAAACAGGAGCTGGACGCCAACATCACGCTTCCCAACGGCAGCAGCTTGCCGGTGGTTCTCCTAGGCAACAAGGTGGAGGAAAAGCCGGCTGATTTCATTAAGAACATACATGCTTACATATCACTCAAGACCGGTAATGAATCCGCCATGACTTGATGATCATTTTCGGCATCGTCAATCCGAGTAAACCAATTAAACTGGCATACACACGCCGTAGGTATTGCTAGGCCCAAGGCAAGGTTCAGTCGCTGTCCTTCGGAAGCCTTTGAAATGGAATCATCTGAATATGTCGAATGAAGAGTATCTCCATCAATAGAAGTATGTCGCACCATCGTGCATTTGGCCATTTGAGGAGATGAGTGCGTTCCATAAGTGACGCATTCGAGTGTGGTCATCCCCGGCGCCTACGGCGTCTTCTACGAGCTAGTGAACATGACCCAGGCCAAAAAATCGCTCTGTCCATCCGTGTAGTGCTCACCACATAGGTCACAAACAACGGTGTGCAAGAACTTGTTGTGATCAGAAAAATCTGCATTTGGTCAGTCGAAGTCAGTCAGGTATAGAACGGGAAACATCTCCAAACCTCTCTGGGACTCAAATATACGGTAGATGGCGCGATCAATAATTAGAGGAGTGGGAGTTGGCGCGTGACTTCTGCACCAATTGATTTCGTTTGGAAACGGAGGCCGCGGGCGTGGTGATGTTTGGACGTAGCCGTGTGACATCAGAGGACCGTACATGACACAAGATAACACACCCCCTTGACCGATTTTCGAAGCTCGATTTCTCAACTGCAGGCACAGTCACAGCGCTGAAAACGGCGACGTTGAAACCGTCTTGTCGAGATCTTTTCGAAAATGTATTATTTCGTTTATGCATCCTCTTCGCCGTGGAGTAATCGAGCTTTGAAAACCGGTCCAGGGGGTATGTTATCTTATGTCATATACGGTATATCGGAATCGATTCTATGGGAGGGTTTGAAGTGAACACGAGGAAGACGAATGGCATACACATACATTCCTACATGCGTACACATACATACGTACCTTACCCTGAATGGCTCTGTAACGATTGCCCTTTCCGGCGTGATCGAAACAACTGCCCAGGTTGACCTCGAAGTGGCCAAGGTTGACGTGTCCTACATTGATAGCTTCGTCGAAACGCACGGATTCGTCGCTTGGTGAGGCAGCATTCTTGTTCGGATCGTCTGTTTACAATCATCCTGAAGATGATCTCTCTCTGCAAGAATGTCTCGGTCAGGTTTTGATACTTGTGGTCTGAAAGCACGGGGTATATGACCGTGACTCAATTCTCGGACGGCAGACCCAAAACAACATATTCGCCTGATTGAGAGCGTAGCATCTGATTGAGAGCGAGATTGCGCGATACGCTGTAGCCGGACTACCACTGAGAGGTGGAGCTTGCTGTGTAGCTTGAATTGAAGGGCTAGCCCGTAGCTTCAAGCCGCTACCCTGGTCATCCTGTGGGAGTCTCTCGTTGTGGAGCTACAGCGGGGAGCAGAAGCTACAGCAGAGCCCACCGCCCGACGCGATACCGCCCTGAAACAGTTTGAGCAGAAATAGCCAATCTGGGCAAATCTAGCAACTTGTCTAGCTCCTCGCTGCAGCATCCGATGACGATGACACGCATATGCTCGCGAAGCTGCTGATGAGACCTTCAATTTGCACCGCTTCTTGGAATAGCCCGTCCCCTACTTGCCAAGAAATGGCAAGAGGCGTCTGGACCCGAAATTTCAATTTTTTTGGCTCTCGCTCTCAATCAGATACTTCGCTCTCAATCAGGCGAATATGTTGTTCCAAGCATTTTGGCCCCCATTGTTGTAGGATTCAGCTGTCTGTGTAGACGGAACAAAGAAGAGAATGGTTCCTTTTAGAAGGAGAGGAGAGATGTGAATCTCCGCGGAAGGATAAAATAGGGGACAGGATCTAGTAGCCCCTGCTTTGAGTAGAGGATCCTGGGCCCTCTGGTGCATTCCTACCGATACCCAAGGCAACAGCTACTGCTGCTGCTGTTCTGCAAGAAGAGTAATACTAAGTGAGTTTTTCTTCACGGGTCTACCAGACTCCATCACGCGTGCATTCCACTACAACACCATGCTCGCTCGCAGGCCTGGAATCGAAATTATTCTTGTTGTGCGCCCAGCTTCAATTAATCTGTTCACTTTCATCTGTGATTGGAGTAATTCCACTTCTTCTACTACTACTGTACTATTTTACTATCGACTGCATCAAATTTTTGACCCCGGAAGGATGGTATGAGCCAAAATAGCGTAACGGGAGGGGTCAGCGGGGTCACTCAGAGGTATGCTTACAATAATAAATATTTGTTTGCCCGAAGCGTCTGCTCGGCGGTACGTGCCCCATTTTAATATTATTGAGAAACAAGCACCAACGTATCTTGTTCCGTGACTCGGCGGCCGGCCGTCTCGTCCTCCTGGTCGATACGGATCTGATTTCGTTTTTCGATGCCCCTATGGACGATATAGGACCGACGTCTCGGCGAAATACGCAGGCAACAGTGACTTCGAGATGTCCGTCGCGTGCCTCATCAAGAAACTCTTGTGCGACGCGGAACTTTTCGGGCCAGGCATGAGGTAAGTGCGAGAGTGAGCGGTGCGGGCAATAACGTCCCCTCACGAGTTTATGTGTTCAAACACCGTATCTGGGGTACTACACTGTGGTCTATACAACAAATTACACAACATACACAACCTCCCCCACAACATTCAACAAGGTGACCAGGAGGTTGTTACTGTTGAAAGGGTGTGAATATGAGCGAGCTCGTCACAATCAAAGAACCGTTTGTTGTTCGACCCGACGTGTTTCTTTCTCTTGCTCGCGTCTGTTACCTCCTCCACCTCTGTTCACCTTTCTTTCTTGCATGAAAGGCGGAGCGCCGCTGCCTTTTCCACGAGATTACAGGCGAGAGGACAAAGCGCAGATCAAACCGGCTCTTCTTCCAAGGGAGTGCGGCTGGCGTTATCAACCGAAGCGACTGGCCAGGCTTCCAATACCGGTTGCTGCGGATAATGTCTAGTCTAATGTTCACCTGACCGATCGACTGATCCCTTGAGCACCTTAAATGGTCAGAATACATAGATTGTCTGGTAGCAGCAATTCATGGGTTCGTTACGGCACAAACTTAACACGTTGTGAACGATTTTCGCACAACACCAGAAGAATCAGACTGAAAAAATTTCATTGTCCGGAAGTTCAAATCACCCTCAGCAATACCACCCGGGGTGCAGTAGACAGTCCGCGCATTCCTAAATTTTTAAAAATTGTGCGTTGTTATATCATTGTTCGGGCAATCAAATCAGTCCATGTATGTCATTGCCAACACTTGTGCGGTCAGTCGCACGCTCTTCTCGCGATCGACAATCATCATCGATCCTCCCTTCCTTCCCTCATCCCAGGCTATCTTTCGCCCTCCGTTACCCGTCTATCGCTCCAAGCAAATAGACAAAGGGGGCGTGGCCTCCCTCCTCGGTAGCTATCATCCCTACCTACCTCCTCGAAGTCATTTTGTACAAAACTCACCAAATGCCGGCGGGACCAGATCTGAACTGAGCGGTCTTCGTTGGGAACGAGCGTGCGTGCTAGGTACGCTATACCGACCCCCGCATTGCTGTTGCTCTCTATGTATGGCTCTCGAGAGAGAGACGCACACACGACGACACATCACGTGCATGTACCGCTAAGCAGTACACACGTACGTCTTGACTATCCTTATCCCTACCCTAAACACTAACGCTAACCCCTCGTTTCACCTGCCATGGGAAATGTATGATGATGGTACATGTTCGTCTACGGGAGTTGTACTCTCTGCTCGTATACCGCAACTCCCCAACCACATTTAGAAGGCCTATGATCCACCAGCAGCAGCCACAAAGGACGAAGCCACGCGCGACGTCCAACACCCACAAAAATGGAAACAAAAAAAAAACCTAAGCGAAGTTGAGAGCTCGCACAGGGGAGCCAAAGATTGGTATGCCTGCACCCCCCCCACAAGGAGAGCTGTTCATCTCTGCGCCGCAAGTGGACGACGCCGCCTTGCTTGGCGTCGCGGCGTCCGCCGCTCCGAAAGAGAAGGCCGAGGCTCCGTCGACGACCGTCGGCGCCACGTGGGCGTCTTCCTCATCGTCGTCCTCGCACCCGTAGAACCGCTCGATGATCTCGATCGCCTTGTCGTAAACGGCTCTGTTGTGTGTTCGTGTTTGCGTTTGTGTAATATTCCGGGAGAAGGAAGGGCGGCGGCGTTTTGTCAGCTTGTTGTGGTCTCCGAAAACGAAACCGGATCGACGAGGTGAGATGGATCACAGCTTCGTACACTTGAACTTAAGCAACGACACTTGTGCGAGTTAAGTCTTGAACGAGCCGAACATACAACGACAGCTTGTTGTTGTTCACCGCGCCCGTGGGCTAGCGTGCTGTTATGGCTAGCTCTGTTCGTTTGTCTTGGTTGGCCCAGCCCAATGAAAGAAGTACAACCGTGCCGAGTCAGAGCGTGCATAATCTCCAACATAATTTTGCCCACCTGTTCTCGTGCTCTTGCAGCTGCTCGAGACGGTCCAGCCCACCGGACTCGTCGAACATCTGCACCCACGGGAGCCCGTTGTCCTCGCTGTCCAGAGCAAAGATCGCCGATATGGCATCGAGCGCCACCAGAATCGCCTGTGAGTGAGTGAAATCCGTTTCACACGTTCGCGAGCGCAGCCAAGTCAAGCACAAGTGGAGGGATGCATGCAGTTCCATAAAAACGACTTCTGGTGTCAAGCGTGTTCGATTCCCCTCTCCTACGCTGACCTACACGTTCTCAAAATGCGCAGTTGTTGGGAGCAAGTCAACAACGCGATCACGAACGCCGTTGGTTCACTTTCCGACCACGGCATTTCCGCAAGACAAATTTTCTGACGAAAGCGGGAACGGACCAACTCTTGTGCAAAAACTCCGATGGTTGCCGGGTAATGTAGTGAAAGCGTTCAGTTCACTACCTCGCACCAACAATTACGAACGCATCGAGCCTGCCTGCCACGAGAATTCGGCTGACCAGCAGAACCAATCCAAAACGGACGAGGACTCGACAAAAACACCCTGTTTGGAAAAAAAACAAACCAACACCCAGCCAACGAGACTAGAATGCCGCCGCACACATGAAGCGCACGTCGTTCTAAACGTTCACTCATTCAGCTCGAACCGTCTTCGCGAGGAATTCATTTTGAGTCCACGAGGGCTCGCAACCCTTGCCCCAGCCTAACCCCCCGAATCCCCCACAAAAACCAACCCAAACACATCCTCGCGGTTTCATGACCAATCAATGAACCAATGAATCACCTTGGCGTCGGCACGGTCGAGCATCGAAGATAATGCCGGGATCGCTTCCAGGTTAACGAGTTGTCTCACTCGCGAAGCTGCACGTCATGATCGGAGATCCGCCGAGTTTGCAACCGAACAAGATGCACGTACGATAAGGGGCGATGGTGAGGTTAGTGTATGAGACGTGTCTGTCGAACGTTGTTCGAGGTCGTTAATGCTGTGTTGTCAACTAGTACAGTGTATGAGACGTGTCTGTCGAACGTTGTTCGAGGTCGTTAATGCTGTGTTGTCAACTAGTACCCGTGTTCAAACACGGGGCGGGGCGTGATCACAGGTCATACATCCCGGCCAGCTTTTCCCCATTGATAAGCAACGGGGTAAGTCTGGTTATTTCCTTCATACATCAACCACACGATAAATAATGTACCACCAACAAACATTATCGGTGTGCTTTGCTCACCACATGCAAAGAAAACAACAGCAGTGTCATGAGGTTTGATCTCGACCGCGATGCACATTTCATCGCGTGTTAGGCTCTCAAACGCACAAACACCGATGGAAGTCGGGCAAAAGAGGTACAGGCAGGCGGCAGACGACCCGGGCGCGCGTGCGCCCCGCTCGCTCACCATCGCTTGCCGTGGCAACGTTGCTGATAACAAAGTTGGCCTCCTTCTGCACCTCCCAGACGTCGCCGGACAGAAGCTCGATCACGCCCCCGAGAAGCCCTGGGCTGTCGCACACCGAGGCCATCTGGGGCGACGTTCCCGCGACGATGTTGCTCAGAGTCCAGCACGCCTCCTGCTCGTGGAACACGCGCGCGAGGGAGATTTACAAAGAGACCGTCACATGACAGAAAGGTTGTCCTATGCATAATTCTTTGAATCAATCGCCTGTCGGTTCGGTGGGAAGAATGTGTTGTACGCTGCGGGAAGACCAAACGTGGCCAGCCCGATGAACAAAAATGCCAACGCATACCCATGGGCTCAACCGAGGCAGCTTCGAAAACCTAGGGCTTTTGCTCTTGCCCAACAATAAATCGCAAAACGCAAACACCATCAATCGTGGGTTCCCTTATGTAGCTGTTCGGGAAAAAAAATCCACCGCGGGTTCGGGTACGACTTACACAAGTGCAACGGGCAACATGACCCTGCCTCCCCGTCTAAGAGTGAGTTGATCGGTCACCTTGCGGATGTTCTTCTTCGGGTGGCGCAGCAAAGATTGGAGGTGGGGAAGAACGCCCAAGTCCAGAACCGTCTGCTCGAGAAAATCGACAAGAACAACACGCCGCACCACACGAGGGTTCGTTAGCCGAAGTGCAAATGCCGGACCACAGCGTCACGACAGACTGACCGGGGGAGGGTGCGACCCTGTCTTGATTCTCAAGACACTCGCCTGTCACGACGGTACGGCCAACAGAAAAGTACTCAAGGCGTGTCCAGTCCAATCCACAGAAGTTCATCGCAAAGGCAGGGATTACGTGTTGGTCGGCCATAGGTTGTGAGAGGTGCTGCATGAACTCTCTGCGCGGACACGAAGTCACCACACAAATGGAAGAAAGTGGCAATGGGGCAGACGATCTCCCCAATCAAAAACGAACCTCGCCAACTATAATACTGCTTTGTACTACACCAGATAGAAGTTGCCAAGGGTGCACCTTCACGATCGGCGGGCTAATCCCGCCTCCAGAGCTACCCTCCCTCACACGAGAAAAAAAGGAAACAAACAAGACGCAAAATAAATATCACCTGCGTCTGCGCGTCGCTGCCCGTGACGAAGTTGCCGAGCGTTCTCAAGGCCGGGGTTACCACGTTGCTGTCCCCGTGCTGAAGCAGCGCCGTCAACGGTCGCGCGACGCCTGACGAGATGACCGTCTCAATGCGCTCGGTGGTGCCATCGGAGAGGTACGACAGGGCCCAGCAGGTGTCTACCAACACCTGCGAGTAGGGCAAAGCGAAGAAATTGTGTTGTGCGGTAAATAATTGGGAGAAGCAGAGAACAAGATAATCATCAACAGGAACACGGGGAAGAGACCAAAGTCGATCCGTCCAGTTTCGGCCTGATCGTTTCAGCGAGAAAGACGCAGCTATTCGCACAGAGATAAGTCCACTTCTTCCTAGGTGCAACCAAACGACATTCTAGATTTCGGACACGCAACTCGGAGGTGCGAATCAAATGGCTGGCCCACGAAAGCTCCTCGCCGTCTACCCGTTTCTGACACGAATCTCCAAAGGGTTTCGGACATGCGTGCATGGCTTCGGATCGGTGCTTAGAATGCCTCCCCTCCAGTCTACTGCGGTCGTACACTCGGATGGACGTTCCGATTGCCCAGCAACTCTTGATACTGGGTATCGTAGTCTCGTAGCAAGTAGAGTCAGCTCACGTATGCACAAGTGACACAAGATATCACACCCCCTGGACCGATCTTCTGGCACGAGTACCCCACGACAAAAAAGATGCATGCATCACACGATACTTGTTCAGAAAGCTCTCGATGAGTCGGTTGAATTGTGTTGTACACCACCGTTTTCGGCGCCTCCGCTCTTTCCGCAGTGGAAAAATCAAGCTTTGAAGAATTGCCTACACGGAAGGGGTGATATCGAGTATCACAGCAGATTACCGTACCTCCGAGTCGTCGGACGACAGCAGCTTCAGCAGCACCGGCAAGGCCGGGGCGAGCAGGGCCATGTCCGGCTGCGGCTTCCCGCGGCACATGTTGCTCAAGGCCCACACGCAGTTCCTCAGCAACGACGGCGTGGCCGGCTGCACGACGTTGAGCAGCAGCCCCTCGAGGGCGTCGGGGGTACCGAGCACCACGTTACGGAGCTCCTGATGACCGTCATGACAACAAATAAAGAGAACCATTCTGAGTTGAGGTCAGAACGGACGCTGTTTTGAGTGCGGTTGTAAAGGGGAGTGGGTCACGAGCTTGAGCGAGCTTCCCCGGTCTTTGTTCCGAGAATATTCCGTGCGATACAACGAGCCCATGTTCCAAGCAGCGGACAAAGTCCCCAAACCAACCTGGAGCTCAAGGTGGAAAACACACACCTACATCGATATGCCGTTGCCCATCCGCATACAAGCACGCGCTTGCAGCTGCAAAAACAGCCAAAGACGTCTTCCGAAAGAAAACCCGCGTGGACGCGACAGACAGCCCTTGGAAGACCAAAAATTGATTCCAGGCAAAAGAAACAAGCAACCAAAAAAACTGCTGTTGGATACCGGTTCAGAATTTCCCGTACATCTTACAATAGCCTCGCTTGAAGCAAAAAGCGACGGGCTAATCACCAAGTTTGGCTCCCGCAACTCGATAATCATAGCGATCGAAACGAAAACGCTAGATAATACTCACGGCGCAGTCTCCGGCGATGTTGCCGAGGCACCACGCGCACTGCTCGCGGAGGTCTTGGTTGTGGTGCCGAAGGTTGCGCACGAGGGGGGGCACCGCACCGTGCTGAACGACTGCGTCCGTCTTGCAGGTGGAAGCGATATTCGTCAGAGCCCAGGCCGCCTCGAACTGCGCCCGGCGGGTAGGGAAAATTGCAGCAGTGGGGTCCCGACGCGCGCAAAAAGTTCGTTGGTGATGGTGCCACACGAAAGTGCTACGCTATTCGAATATCGTACAGTGCGAAAGTGCTCAAAGAAACTCTGCGAAAATCCATCCGCACGTTGTCAACGCATGTGCAACATGAAAAAAAACACTGGCGGGAAAAAAAAAGAGAATGCTCCGCAACCACAAATACGCACACAAAAAGCACCCTACACAGAGATAGAGTCGGGTATATGCAGAGCGTGTAAGGTGGCACGCTGTACATGCCCATTGACGGGGGGTTCGGGAAGGGAAGGCTACTTGCTGGGCGAGATGCCAGTCCAGCGAGAGGTTTGGAGGTGGTGGCGGTGGTTGCTGCTACGTACCGAGTGTATGTAACATACTGCTGTTCCACCGATGCCATGTTGGTGGCAGCGCTCCCTCTTGTGACGGCCACTGAATACTCCAGCTCAAACTGGAGGACTCACGATTCCGCCAACACCTTCGCATTCTACCGCGTCCAAAATGCTAAGAGCTTTGGGTGTGCGCGATACGGGAACGCCTGCAGCAAGCTGTGTACTTGCTTGGTCGAACGGTCGAACAGATAACCCTTTTATCATTAGCCTACTGCACTCTGAGAATACATGCATCCATCCATTCGTTTTTATCCAGACCTAGACGTACATGACCATGTACGGCTGTACCAAGGTAGCGCCAAACATGCTGCAAATCCAAGAGAACCACGCGACTCACCTGCAAGTCCGTGCTGCTGTGCTCGTCCAAGCAGAGCACCAGCAGCGGCATCGCGCCAGCCTGGATCACCTCCGCCACGGGAGGGTCGGTCTCGAGAGAGAGCACCTTCCGGAGGCCTCTCGCGGCCTCCACTCTCGCGGCCGGGCCGCCTGCGCCCACCGCCAGCGCCCTCGTCAGGTCGGGCACGTCCGCCGCGGAGACCGCCTTCTGTGCCGCGTCCAGCTGCGCGGCGCCCGGGCCGCCGGCGGAGTGAGGGGTGGTGGCGCCGGCAGCAGCAGCAGCGGCTGATGATGATGATGACATGGTGTTTCGTCGCTTGGCCAAGCCCGATTCCTTCTTCTGCTTGCGGAGGCTGAGCGCTGTGTCCGCACGCCTTCGACGGAGGTCGGTCGGGTCGACCCCGGCCTTGATGTCGCGGCGCTTCTGCATGGAAGAGGAGGAGGTCTGGGAAGACATGACTGCGACTTCTTCGGAGAGGGTTGGGCTGGTTGGATGGTAGAAGATTGAGAGTGTGAGGTAGTGTGGCGGTAGGGGGCGGCAGGCATCCATCCGCCCGCTGCTTTTGGCGCCAAAAATGGTAAACTGGCCGTTGGGAATTAACGGCCGTTGGGATTTTTTTTTTCTTTATCGTGCCTTTTTAATTTTGTTTCGCGCAATTTTTTGCAGGAAGCGAGAGCACATGTGCACACGAAGGCGAACACAAGCTAGCCAGCGGCGCGGCGCTTTCAAGAAATGCTCACCCCCGGTAGCATAGCAGCTAAGAGAGGGAGAAACGTTGGGAGAGAAAGATATGTAGATATGCGCATATGTACTGTCTAGATAGGGGAGAGGGGTTTGCTCCAGTGTGATGCCTGGAGGTTACGCCCCTCACTGCCCACGATCTAAACGACAAACGATGTATGCATACTTCCAATCTAAAGTACTTGAGACTTAAAAGCCCAACATGCCATGTATTGCTGTGCATTGATTGCATAAAAATAGGAGAGATAGTGTAGAAGAGGCGGAGTCCTAATCTTTGCCCTCTATCTGCCTGGTAGTCTGTAGCACGTCGTCCATCTCTAGATCTTTCTTGTGGTCAGTAGGGTAGAGAGAAAAGGTTTGTTGAACGAGACTAGTCTTTATGTACTCAAGTAGTTCCACCGGACGCCGTACGTAATATACTGAAACGACCACAACCTCCGGACCTGGACATTTTCTACGCTCCATGATTACTCTACAGCAGAAGGAGTGGCGATGCCGAAAATTTCGGCATTGGTACCACCTCGGCGAGGTCGTTCTTTCCGAAAACGCACCAATTTAGTGTTGGCGCCTTCTTGTGCGTGGAGTACATAGACTATAATAATAGTCTACATGTATGTAGTCAAACTTTGAAAGTCGGTTCAGGGTGTGTTGTTTCTTGTTGTCACCAACGGTAAACGTTAACATTTGCACCTCATTCTGCGCAGGAGCAACCTCATCTTACTCCATCTGTATGCTTCATGTGGACCAAGAGTGAGTCTACATATAATATTGTAGCACAGAGTAATCGACAGGTTGTGGTCTATAGACTAACAAGCTCCAGTCCCGGGTTGTGCCAATGAAAATCTTCAGCAACAATCCGTCAGGGTCAGGAAAAGGTGTGCAGTCTGTGTATCAATAGTATGTGAACGTCTTGGTGGTTTTTCTTGTGACGAAACCCTCAGATGCAATACGGTGTTCCTTTCCTGTATACACCACTGGGGTATCTCTTTTTCTCAATGTTGAACGGTAAAAAATAGCAGCAACAGACGGGACACGAAATGAAAGAGACTCTCCCCATCATCACGTGACTTCTCTCGGTACCATTCGTAACCACGGTTGACATCCTGCCACAATGATGCCTGCTATCGTCCGCAAGACTGAGGTCTGTCTCTGCCGTCCTATCCTTGGCGTGATAGATACGTCCGCTGAGCAACACTCGATGATAAATATCACAGCCCGATACTAAAACGGTGTGTGTGCACAAAAACTAAAGATGCACACACATGCAAACAAACAAAACAAAAAAGAGCCATTACAATTTGTTGTTGTTTCTCGCATTAGCTCTGTCGTCCACATAAAATGGGGAGCCCGGGGTCTCAAAACCCGGCACATACGACGCCGCGAGGAAACAAAACAAAAATAGGGTACAAACCACTCGAAACACGAAAACAAAATGATAAAAAACGAAAAGAACAAGTACCCCACCGACCGTTCGAGAAAAGAGCCCTCGGCAGCCGATCAAAATAAAACAAAAACAAAAATAAAGGAGGACGCTTCCCACACCCGCCTACTTTAGAAGAAAAAATCAAAGGGTAACGTACCAGCACCAGGCACTACGCACCAGGGCACGGGAGTAACGGAGCCAACAGGACAAAGAGGCGGCAGATGGGCAGACAGCCAGATGTACAAAAACAAAAGCAACAGCAACAGCGAGATCAAGGTACCCAACACAGCAGAGTAGCCAGGGAGGTGTATGTATCAATCGGAATCCCACCCGAACTTCTCGGTGACCCCAATGTGCAGGTCAACCGGTAGTGCCACCACCGTCCTCTCGCTTCCTGGCGCCATTTTGGTGCCTCTTGTAGTTGATCCGACCGCAAGCTGCTTCGCCGACCTAGAGCCATCCTCTTGAAAACCTCGTAGAAAAATACTACTGCACGTGCACCAAGACTTGCTCTGCCCACATGCCAATTTTACCCAGACTATGGCAGGATGCAGGCTGTTTATCTTGCTGTGCAAGCGCCAAAAAACAAGAAGAAATAAACGAAAGCGAGAGGAGGCCGGCGAGAAACCTCGGAAATTCCATTGTCACACAACAAAAAAGAGTTTTGTACATATATTATCCGATACGACGCATGCTAGACCTCTCGTCTGTCCCTCATGTTCCCGACAATTCCGCTTGATTGATTCAATCGCCACCATAAATTATCTTCTGCCCGTTGATTTTTTCGATTTGTCCAAGTTCCGTCAATAGTAGTCTTATTGACGGCTCGCTAACCTGAATAATTACATACATACCTTACCGAAACAAAATCCACACCGGAGTAGGCAAATAAACCTTCAAACCCTGATACAGTAAGTCTACTCACGAAACCCCCCGGCAACTAACGCTGACTGACATCCTACGCTCGATGAGAATTACAAATGCGACGGCAAGAGGATGACTGGATGGATCAAAAACGTACTAGCCTGGTACACATACCACGCAGACAAGGCTGTACGCATACGACATCGATAAAAAGCGAGACAAATCGTAACACGCGAACTGGAAAAAGCCACGGTCGGTCCTGACGATGAAACATTTGTTCGGCTTGCAATCCAAGAAGTCACAAAAAACGCGTACAAGCAGGGGGTGGACCGCCGGAGTGGCGAAACACAGTACGGTTTCTCCATCACAACAAGGACTGCTACAAATAGCGTTGATTGGACACCCGCGTGCCCTCCGTGCCCCTCCGTGTACCCAATGCGACGGATCGCCATGTATGTCCATTCCCCGCAAGACTACAAGCTTGGCTGAATTTTACGCCAAGATATACACTAAACGTACTCTCAACTCTTCAGAAACTGCGTCACCACGAGTTTCGCCTCCAGGTATTCTGGAGTCAGCCCCCCCTCTCTACCGCTGGACAAACCAACCCCAACATTCTTCCCCGTCCTCCTCCGACAAAAAAACAAAAAAAAGTCCTCCTCGAGTCTCTGCAACCGACGATGATGCGGTCGCAGGGGAGGAGGCAAAACAAACTTTGTATGATTCCAGCGCCATCTCAACTCACACCAGCAGTAGCGGTACTTCAGCCGCATCAACAGCAAAACTTGCGCACGGGCGTTCAGACGCCATGTGAACTGCAGTGATTCGTTGACATGGACGGGGGCCTGGAACCAGCTACGGGCCTAGCAAATCTCCTGCCGCAGCGAAAAAATCAGCAGGTGCAGGAAGCAACTCGACACGAGACAAGACGAGAGAAAAGACACCGCAGGCGAGCTCCCTATGCAATTAAATAATACGCAAGTACTGATTGTAGATAAAAACGCCACAATCTTTCAAGGCGGAAGACGAGACGAAACGTTCTCGCGAACTCTCTCACGAACGTTCTCACGAACGGTGCTTGGTTTCGCTGGCTCGTCTCTCTCTCTCTCTCCCTCTCTCTCTCTCTCTCTCTCTCTCTCTCTCTCTCTCTCTCTCTCTCTCTCTCTCTC